ACACACACAGAGGAGAGTCGTGTGAAGAGAGAGAGAGAGAGAGAGAGAGAGAGAGAGAGAGAGAGAGAGAGAGAGAGAGAGAGAGAGAGAGAGAGAGAGAGAGAGAGAGATTGTTCGCGTTAGAGTGACAGACCTCATTGGACTATATTCCACCATGGTGTTGAAGAGAGAGGAGGTTGTTAATCTTGCATGTACGCTTGTCAGATGCTGATGCATCCAGCGTTGTCGTACGTAATCGTGGTGGATGTAGATCTGGGATGTCTTCTTATCAATCATCAATTGTCGAGATCTGGGATGTCTTCTTATCAATCATCAATTGTCGATCACCAATTATCGTTCATTCACAAATCATCGTCAATGACCAATCATCATCGCTTATCATTTAGAAGTCATCAACCGTCAATCATCAATTATGATTGAGTATAGATGAGTTGATGAATCAGAGAACGTTTAGACGAGTTGATGATGCCCACTTGTTGATTAGTGAGCTGTTGGTAAGCGAGCAGCCTTTTCAACAAACAAGACAAATGAATCAGAGAACTCTTTGATGAGTGTTGATGAGTCAGAGAACGTTTAGATGACGGAGTGATTATTAGCTGATGTCCATTTGTTTGTTGCAAAAGGTGGTCTTTCACCCTTGGCAATCATCGTTCGATAGATTGTGACACGTGGCAGCCTCTCAGGGCTGCTCGATAGATTGTGACACGTGGCAGCCTCTCAGGGCTGCGCGCTCCTTCTCGTCGAGCGTTTTGACCAGTCAGATTATGACAGGCAATCATCGTTCGATAGATTGTGACACGTGGCAGCGTCTCAGGGCTGCTCGATAGATTGTGACACGTGGCAGACTCTGAGGGCTGCGTTGCAAGCGTTTTGATTAGTCAGATTTGAAACGTGGCGGCCGCTGAAGTCGTGATTCGTGTATGTTTCATGTGACACGCGGCTTCGATAAGCCCTTGGTAGATGCGATTACGATAGCACCTGCCTGCTGTCGCCCACCTGAGCTGAATCTATACACGATATTTTTACTATTTTGATACGATTTTATGTTAATTTGTTCAATGCAGCCAGGCCATTTTTTTGCCGGTTTTCAATTTCCCTTGTTTAACTGTGTTTTTTTTTGTGTGTTTTTTTTTATAACCCCTCGTCTCTCGATTCCAACGTAATCGCGATGATGACGAGTGGTCAGCAGCTCATGGGTGTTTGACCATTTAGGCCCGTAGGCCCGTTGGTCATGATGATGGTGATAGATTGATAATGATGATAATTGATGATGATGATGATGGTGACTATGGTGACAAAGACGAGGACGATGAGCTGATTCCATGATGATGACCAAGAGTAAGGATGGTGATGATGATGATATGATGATGATGATGATGGTCAAGACGAGGATGATGATGGTCAAGACGAGGATGATGATGATGATGATGATGATGATGAGGATGAGGATGATGATGATGATGATGATGATGATGATGATGGTGATGGCGGACTCCTGATCTGCTTAGTAAACAGCTAATTTGCCCTGAACGTAACGACCCTGATAAATGAATGTATAGAACCTATGTTTGCGATCCGGTACAGCCAAAATGAGGGTGGGTTGTGTTCGGGGGAAGACGGTACGTGTGTGTGTCCCGTTGATCTACATGGCCCGCCGCCTACTGCTCACCAACCGAATAGAACGCACGGTCATGAAAGCTGCTCTATTTCCGGGATTGTAGTCTGGACACAGCGATGATGACCGTGCTCTTTTTTTTTTTTTTTTTCTTGACAAATGTCTACTGCTTGTCGATCGTGGTGAAGACCGTAGACTTGGTGATGGCGATTTACTTCCTTTTTCGTTTTTTTGGGAAGGGAGGGTGTTTGAAGTACGGCTATCAATTGGTCATATGAAATTGTTTTTTTTTTTTTGTTGTTTTTTTGGAAAAGCCTTAATCTTTAAATCTCAAGCAATTCAACTACTTGTCCAATTCTGGACAGGATGGCCTTGCAGGCCTATTTATTATCATTACGGTACAGTATTACCTGGAACCCCCTACCAAATGGATTGATTATGTACTTAGTAATTTAATTTTAATTTTTGGAGTCCAAGGGCGGGGAGTATCGATTATTTATTTTTTTTTGGAGTGAAATTAATTAAAATTTAATCGTAAATTTAATTTAATTAATTAAATTTGATAAAAAAATAAAATTTATGTTTTAAGGAGGATTTAAAGGAGGGTTTTGGCTCTTTCTGACGTATGCGTATTTGTGTATGACTGTGTCCTTCCTTTGTTTTCCGTTTTTTTTTTTTGTTTGTTGCCTGCAGGACGATATCATAATCTCCATCTTCACTGCTCTAAGCGCCAAAGCCAGCTCGACCAGCGATTTGATCAACGCTATGTTGACGTAAGCACGATTGCGCCCCTTTTCTGAATTATGTTATCCTGCTTTTTCAACCCACTATTTATTTCTTATTTAGGTAGTGTTAGTCTAAAATCAAAGGAAATGTTGAATTGAGGGTTGCTAGGCGGAGTATTGTTTGTGCGAGGTTACACACCCACAGAAAAAGAAGAGCAGGTATCCCATGAACAAACTCCTAGCTGCGTCCTCGGTTTGATATGCAGTACAGAAACGAATTGAAGGCAATAAAGTAGGCAATGTAGTAAAAAAGAAGACACTAGTTTCGTTCTCGTGTGTGTGTGTGTGTGTGTGTGTGTGTGTGTGTGTGTG